TATATATATATATATATATATATATATATATATATATATATATATATATATATATATATATATATATATATATATATATATATATATATACTGCTTAAGATGAAAGAAGACGTTTGTCTATATACTGAAGAGGCAACGGCGTCAACTTGAATAGTATATATTCAGTATTTTTATTTATTTATTTATTTTATCAATAATGCACAAAACGTAAAGTATCAACGTAGATGTAACAAAAATAAGAAGAAATAATGGACATATATAAAACATGAAATGCTCGACAGGTAAAGTCATACGTTCGTGAAGGATTTCATGATAGTGAAACCGCTTTGTTGGGATGATTATGACGGTGCAGATTAGTGAAATATGAGGCTACTCAAATATTTAAAATATTAACGGTGAGCTTTGGCTGTAATCACTGGTATTATCTTCAAAGCCAAAAGGTAAATTATAATGGCACATTATTCAGCCTTAATGATTTATTAGCATTGGTCTCCATGACAACTAGAGGTTCAAGGTAAATATTCGAGACAAAAACAAAGATGAGGAAATCAGAAAATTGCCGTGTGTTGATGCAACAATAAGTAATTTTAAGATAACTCCTCAAATCTCAAGAACGTTTACCGCACATCCCGCCTAACATGCGTCCATATGGCCGATAAGAGATAGTTTTTCAGAAGATTACTTTTACCAACGGCAATGCCTTGGCCCATGGCAACGGACCGACACAAAAAATGAAATGTTAGCATACATGCAAATGATAATATAATAACTAAGCCAGAATAAATCACATAAATATAACTGCAGACATTAGATTGTATGTTTATAAATTATATTTATGTATAGTAATCTTAGTAATCATATGTATACGACTGCATGATTCAATATTAGAGACTTTAGCGATGTGGGACGGCAACGCGTGACGACGACGGCTATATTCATACAATGAGATATTATTGAGATTCATAATATTTAAGGAAAACGAATAATTAATATCCCACGGGAGTTTGAGACGTCGTGCACGGTCTGTTTACAATGGGAAGCTACAGACTTTGACATTTTGGATAAAACGCCTGCTATACTCAGCAAATTACCTCAGTAGAGTAGAACGTTCTCAACAATAAAGCCACTATTTCAAGCTAACCAAACAGTATTAAATTGATACGATCAATAAAAGTCTACAAACTTTCTTATTCAATCGTTTATTTGAATGATTTTATTCTGGCCGTTGTCGTCCTACATCGTAAGGTCTCTATATATTACCAGGTGACAACGACTATTCTCGATATAAAACGTCTTCAACTAAAGCAACTCAAAGATTCTTGAAAACTAAAGTCAGTTGTGTCCTAAACTTGTATTCCTCTTCTTTTACTTTCATTTCCATAAAACACACAGTCAAGTAGGTTGACAATGATTAAAGTTTCTCACAGTTAATGGCGTTTTAGGAATGCGTTACGTAAGCTGTCTGTATAACCTGTTATGTCATTGTTTGGGTATTAATATGCAAGCCTGCGAGACTTTACTGTTTTGGTGAAAATAGAGTTTTTGGTCTAAGCGAACGAGGCGTTAAGTTAATTATATTAAATTGTTTAAAGAGATCTTTCATTTTGTTTTTGAATAAGTTTAGTTAAAAACTGAGTTAAAAATAGATTCAAGCAGCTGTCCTAATATTATGGCCCCTATGCTGAAAACGTCAAGTCACACCGCTTTTTTTCGCCAAAATAATGAAATGTCGGCATACACTAGTGAAAAGTCTCTCAACATTATGTGATAAAATTAAAAAGTATAAGCAAATGGGGAAATTATAAGGCTGGCAGTTTTTGTGTGTGAAATAATACAAACTTGCATGGGGTAATCAATTCATGTATTATTCAACATAGGTACTTATAGACGAGTAAAGTACAACTGAGAATAATTCTCACAATTCCGTTGTTTTGAACAAATCCTTTAAGCTTATCGCCACATAACGGGTAATAAAAAAGCATTAAGAGATAATGAAAGAGATAAACACATACCCCAATATGAATTCCATCGATTATAACTTGAGGTAAACTTGAACCTTTTCCCAGACGATTTTGCATTTCTTTGTGATGTTCCTTATGTATAAATACATCACGTTCCTCGAAGGGCAGACCTCTATTATTAAAAACTTTCTTAACATAAGCACATGCTTCTGTCGTGGCTCGTACAGCTGTCATTGACGTCGTATAAATTATAATTTTCTCGTGATCTTCCTCGTTTAAAGCCTAGAATGCGGAAGACATTGAGAATGTTTACACGTAGCAGTCTATAGTAAGCTAAAGACAAAGTATAGACGCTTACCTCAAAGCTAGGAGGAGGAATCACATGGCCCTTAGAGTTAAATGATGCTGAATATCTTCGAACCATATTCTTGTAGCCTCTTACAGTTCCTTTAACGCTTTTTAACATTCCATTTTCACCGTTTGATATTTTAAGTCTCTCCATTCTATCGAAGTCCTCGATGTTTAATCTAGACGATATACGCGTCGGAAGTGCATCATAGTGATCTATTTCTTCACTATCATCATCAAGCCGTGAGCTTTCCATTTCGTTATTACGACAAAACTCTTGACCATTTAGAAAATGCTGTAATGTGGACGGTTTATTAGACAATGTTATCTGACATAATCCATCAGATTTTCTCTTAGCAAAACCACTGGCCAATGAAATACCTCTCCCAGTTGGACTCAAACTTGGACTATTGTCCGTGTTAAACCGGCGTTCTGCTCCACTAGATCCATCTAAACTTGTCGATGAGCAGCTACTTGAGGCAGAAGAGTGTATAACCGATTTGCTTGAGTCGCTACTTGACTCATCAATATCCACCTCAACGTTAGAGCCGCTCAAGAAGAAATGATTCCACTTGTTTGCAATGTTCTGAGGCTGTTCATAATGCGACGAATTATTGGGGATTAAAATAAGATCGTTGCGAGGATACGAACGTAAACCAGAGTTCTCGTAGTAACTCATCTCGTCCAATGTGTAACTGAGAGCAAGTGTTCAACATGCGGCTGTAGACGTCGACTAACAGGAAACAATTAATAAAGCGTTTATATATAAGGAGGCTGAGTCACATAATATGCAAATATTAAGCAAATTATGAGTATAGCGCAGGAGACGAAGTATATGTACGCTATCCCTCCCACAACTTAGCAAGCTTCACTTAGAGATAGCAGGTTGTTACAGTTTGGCCATTCATATTTAACCACAACTGATGTTAGGATATAAACATTTTGTTCTCTTAGCCAATGGTTAGCTCACTTGTTTCTCTACAACAATAATACTTGCTTTCTGGTGAGCGAAATATTCATGTTTACATTGGAGTGCTTGTGGCTAAATAAATTAACAAATATAAAAGTACGCCGATAAAATATAAAACTGATATGATCTTGATAAACACAATAAAGTTATAACAATGAATAAAAATATTTAGATACTTGTAATATGGGAAACCTTTCTATTCATTCTACATAGTTTCATCATACCAGCCGTATATACCGTATGCATATTATATATGTACAACTACAAGTAAACCCAAACAGATGAGCGTCAAGTGCACGTCCCATCAAAAATTACGTCAACGGTTGGGACATGAAACGTCAACAGTCCAGGCATGGAAAAATAGCCACCAGAATCGCTGCGTTCAAATCTCCAAGGTCATAAGTTGGTACTGAGCGGTCTGGCATTTAGGTGTTCAACAGCGGCTTAGCTCAGACGCGGACCGAGGCCTGGAGAACTTTGGGGGCCGCGGAATTACTGGAAGGAGGACAAATTCAGCCTATTTCCTTTTTCTAAAAATCCACCTGGCTTCCGAGGAATGATTCCGGGGCCACTAATTTGTTATCGAAAAAATCGTCGCGAAAATAGCGACTTGGCGGCGCGTGTCTTAGGAAATTTTAATTGAACGACGCACAATGCCGTGCGGCTTTAAGTCAGTTTTCCACTTCGACCGTATCGTAACGTATCGTAGCATTTTCTTTTGTGTCGAAGTCATTAGTTCCACTCTAGTGGTCAGGAAACAAAGAAATACGCTTCGCTACGATACGGTTGAAGTGGAAAACTGGCTTTAGTTATGACAAGGCTAAGATCCTCGCTAACTCAGAGAAATCTTGAATCGTACGTCATTGGAGCTCACATCCCAAGGGCATGCGCACTCTTAATATATAGGTCTGCGTTCTAGGACTGGGTTAGTTCACAACACCAGATTAGATATTATTTTTCCCGAATCCTACATCTATGTAATAAACATTCCAAAAATCAGATAACATTGGCAAAAAAAATTATCTTGTGTTATAATCATGCAATTTTGCCAAACAAAAAAGCATCTGCAAAATGTACACTTCTGTACGTGCCTGAGTTTATCTTATGTGTAAACACTTTCGAAGCTGACATTATTATGCACTTTCTTCACCTGCCTTTTACTTTAGCGTTGTTCTTATTAGCTCAGACAAGGTTGTCTATGTCGTAAAGGGTCTTGTAGATGGACATCATCGAGTGGAAATTTAAATACATTTATTAATGAAAAAAATTTTGAAGTTGAAAATTTTCAACTTTTAATTAACAACGATATTTTCGGAATATTTTCTGTCCATGGAAAATTTTGTCGAGTGGAAACGGGTCTTTAGACGCTAACAAGGAACAGCTGCAGAAAATGCAACTATAGTATAGGTCTCTGGCAGGACATGACGTTTAATATATATATTATATAGGGTACTGCCATGTTAGGTAAGTTATGGGTAAATATCAAGATTCTGTTGGCATCTCAGTCGATTGAATAATATAGTTAAGGGTCTTGTATATGGAAATTATCGAGTGGAAATATATGTACTATTTAAAACACGAGCAGGAATGCTTCATCAGATATAAAACACGAGAGCACAGGTCGAGTGTTTCACATCTGATAAAGCACGGACTGCGAGCGTTTTACATGGCTTAAAAACGACCTATCTAATGTCTGTAATGAGTTCATTGGCGAGGTAATTTTAAAAATAAACCGGTTGTCTAAGCGAGAAAATCTAAAGCTAAAGTTCATAAATGAACATGAATTTTGATCACATATGAAACCACCGACACAGCAGCGATTCCCTTTATATTTTCCTCATGAATTATTCTCATTAGTTACGACTATATATACACTATATACACATTGGTCGCCTATATAAACATTTAATAGTTGGAATTACAGGGATACATTTATCACGCATCTGCATGCTCATACCCGAATGTTACCTTCTTTCTATGCATGACGACGCAGGATCTCGATGAATTCCAGTGAGAAATTTGACAAAATTCGGCTCTGAACAAAATGAAAAAACATATTTTCAAAATATTTATTGTTTTGAATAAAGTTCTATATCAGGAGGTAGACGTTTTAATTGTTGTTTTCCGATTTGTGATTTAAAAGGTCTCAAAAATTAAGTAACATGAATCATGATTATTTTGTCTACATAATATTTGAAAAAAAGTGGTTTGGGGTCTTCACTAACCATGATGCATATGGCTTCTTAATCCATGTGCAAGACTCATCCCTTCACGAGTAAAATTGTTTGGCGTACAGAAAGAGTAAATTAAAATAATAAAGTATACAGCAATTTGGAACACTTCAGCCTAATAGGTTAATTACAGGTAATTAAACAGAAGCCTTTTCCCGGAGGCGGTAGTGTTATTCTTTCGGGTGATCTACAGTCCGTATGTAAACAAAGCCTTTGTTTACATTTTTGTGTCCAAAATATTGAGCTTTATTCGACAACTATTTATATTTTCAAGCTTCTAGAGTATAATAAATGATCAAGAAACAACAATCAGGCTTTTCAAGAACTCAAAACATAGTTAAACTGTTTGTATCATAAAAAGTGGGCTCATTTGTGCACATGCGCAGATCGGACTGTAGATCACCTTTAAATCAATGTCAAAATACGAAATTTCGGCACACTCCTTGCCAGCTTCGTGTGCTAACCGCGCAGACAAAACGCCAATAGCTCTTCAATTTCCATTTGCATGACTTCACTTTTTGGACTCAAGTTCTCGCTCCATGATGCAGATAAGGAGCTCACTATAATTTCAGGGTTGCCCGATGATGTATATAAATAGTACAGTGAACAATAATTATACTGCCCGGTTTTATGAACTGATAACTTGTTTAACGATACGGTAGAATTAGTATAGGTAATCACACGGGAAGGAGTGCAATTAATGATTATTGAAAAATGTGTAGCGAGTACCCTATGTTTTTTAAACTCAAATTTAAACTCATGTGCCATACTATGTTTTTTAAACTCATTCTTGTGCCAAAATTTAGTTAAATTCGTCCACGTTTGTTATTTATACAAGATAAATTTCGCCGCCATATTGGATTTTTGTTGTTTTGATTTTTCGCTCCCCCCAGCCATCACGAAAATCATTAATTGCACTGCTGGAGAGTACAATTAATGAAATAATTGCACTCCTCTTAACCAATCAGAATGCAGTTATTTTGTCATGTACATAATTAGCTGCATGGAAAATGGTATTAATACTGTTTACGACCTTGACAGCTATTGGACGCATTGCAATGAATGATTGGACGTCAATGTCCGCCATATTGGCATCACTTTTCTCATAGGCTGAATCAACCTCGTACCCAGGATCTAAGGAGAGACCTTGGGAACGAGGTTGAGGCTGAATGACTGAGGTTCTTGCTCCAGATATATATAGAGCACAGTGGGTATATCAAGGCAAACATGTCATCCCTTCCAACACTTGATCCCAGTTTCCACGTACTCACCAGTGTCTGCTTGTATAATACCATGTCTAATTAAGAAATCCAGGATCACGATAGCGCAGTTTGGTTTAAATTCCCCTGACACAATCTTCTCTTTTACCTTAACAACAAACAAAACGTTGGAAATTGTGGATTTCAAAAACTCCACTGAGCGTTTTTATCAGGAGAACGAAACAATATGAGGACCAAAAGATGACAACTATACTGGAGTACTTCACGAAAAAATCTGATCGATTTTTCTTAAAAATGAATGTTGGTGTTCCATGCAAAAACATGGTGTTCCAGAACAAAAAAAATGTTCTGCATGGAACACCAACAGTTGATTTTTTATACGTGGCATTATTATTCTGTTCCACTTTGTGCAATATACTAATAATGGTTATTACTGATATAGGATTTATTCAAGCTGCATGATCTCAAGCTATCTCGGGTTGCAACCGGAGTACACATACACATGTTGCGACTATTTAGAGGGACCGGCATGGGATTGAAAACTGACAAACTATTTTAACTGAATTACTGCATGACAAACGACAGCAAATTGATTACACGATTACCAAAAACGATTACTAAAAAAAACGATTACCAAATTTATTGAATATATATAACTGAAAACGGACACAAAGATCCCCATTATTAACAGCCTCTGTTTAGTTACCTTCTCTATGGGCCAACAATAAAATTCTTCAACTTCGCCATCGCCAACACAAGGTTGAAAATCATCGGGCAATTTAAGATCATATACAAATTCCACCTCAGGAAAAACTCCTCTTTCATCTTCAAAACAGTAACTAAAAAATATAGAAAAAATTACCAGTATAGTCACATACCTATTGTTTTTGTACACGGAAATGGAATTCATAGTCCCAGGGCCTTTTTTAAGGATTTTTCCGTGGGGGGGGGGGGATTTTTTGAAAAGGGACCTTTCCGTGAGATAATATATTACAGGGAGATAGCAATGGCTGAAGGCCACGTGTGCTGGCTAACATACCATGCACGCAAGGAATGGGGGTCTGGGGGTGTACTCCCCAGAAAATTTTTGAAATTTGAAGCACAGAAATGCCATTTCCTGCATTCTGAGCATCCAAATTTGCTCCAAAATGTATGCTTGTATTTGAATAAAAGAAAGAAAAAACCCACAAAAAGTTTAAAAAAAATTAACCATAATTTATCATTACTTATTAGAGGAGGATACCAACGGTCACGTGTGTGGGAGTGTACTCCCCAGAACATTTTTGAAATTTGAAACACGGAAATGCCATTTCCTGCATTCTGAGCATCCAAATATGTTAACTATACTTGTATTTGAAATAAAATAAGGAAAAAATGCACAAAAAGTAAAAAAGAATATTAACCGTAATTTATCATTATACTTATTAGAGAGGGGGATTTTCAAATTTGAAACCTGGAAATGCTCTTTCCTGCATTCTGAGCATCCAAAAAATAAAAAATTATTAACAATAATTTATCATTACTTAGTGGTAGAAAAACGTAACAATTTAAATCGACTTTGTTAAACAAGGACAAAGGATAAAGCCTAAAACTTACTTTCCGTTTATTTATTTGTTATTCTTCGCTGTTTTGTTGGTATAATTTAGGAAAAAGGGACTTTTCCTGGGGGGGGGGGCAAAATGTGATTTCCTGGGGGGGGCACAAGGGGGACTGCATTTGCCTTCCCAGCTTGTATGTTAAAAAAGGCCCTGCATAGTCCTTATAAGTAGTTTTAATAATAGGAACATCTCTTAAAAAGCTATATCCAAATTCTGGTATTGAGTAACACATAAACTAGTTATTCAGTTTGGTAAACAATGTAAGATAACTATTTTCAATGCAAAAGTGCGAAATTTTGCTTGAAACAACCAGATTTATGAAAGCAAGTTTTTTACAGATGTGCACTTACAGTTACTACTGTATATATCGTATGCCAATACTTACGACTAAAAACAACTGACCTTACAGCTCCAGCAGAAACAGCATGTTTTGCAAGTGATTCTGGGATAGATGCTTCTTCCTGACATTCTTTAATCAATGTATATTTAATACTATCACCAGCCGCAATACCACCAGCAGCCTGGGGGAATATTGGGAATAGCAACTCAAAACAACGTGGAGGAAAGAAATAATAGCTGGACGGAATGGACAACTTGCATGTTAGACTAAATTTTAATCTAAGTAAAGAGAAGGGAATCAAACACTACAGCTAAAAAGAACATAATGAAATTAGTAAAATTGCAAAATTTGGTTGCGAAGTGTTGTAAAGCTTGGAAAATATAGTCTTGCAAAGTTTGAAAATTTTGTATTATGTGCGGAAATTGTTACCATTTTCGGCTCAAAAATGGTAACAATTTCCGCACGTAATACAAACATATACAAAATATGCAAACTTCGTAAGGCTATATATATATTTTCCGTATTTTACAACATTTTGTAATCAAATTTTGCAATTTTACTAATTTTAGTAAGTTCTTTACGTTTTTTACCAAGTTCTTTTGCCTAGTTCAAAAATTAGTTTAACATGCAAGTTGTCTTTAGGCGCGTCAAAACTTCATGAAAATATACATATAGAAAAATCCAAACAATAATGCAGGAGTCAGTACAGTGTTACACTATACACTATACAGATGGGCACGCGCGCGCGCGCGCGTGTGTGTGTGTGTGTGTGTGTGTGTGTGTGTGTGTGTGTGTGTGTGTGTG